ACTTGCCCTTGCAAGTTGCAAGCTGCAACGGACAGCCTCTCGCTCACACAACTTCAGCATGGGCACAGGCGCACGGCCTTCCTGACGAGAGATTCTTTGGGTGGGGGATGCACGCCACGAGACACGGAGTCAGCACCCTGTGCGTGAGCATCAGTTGGGACCAATGACAGGTGGCGCTTAAGCAATGCGTCTGCTACGAGTTTTTTTTTTCGCGATCGGGTTAGACTCGTTTTTCATTAAGAGAAAAAGAAGTTTTAATCCGTTACAGAGATACCAGACGATGCCGACGAGAAGCCAACATCACGGCCTGCGACTGACCTAACTACCCAATTCATTATCGATATTACATTGGGATGTAATTTTGCGACCAAATATTATGACCTAATAAGGTAACGCCTAGGCGTCGCGAATAGCCCTAGAGGCCCGCTGCTTCCTGCCTGGAAATAGAACCTGCATGGCCTCCCGTGTTGACGACGATAGCGGCAGCTTGAAGGCTGTCTGGAACTCCTGAAACGAAGCCTTGTCAGGGAGCTGTGTCTCCACCTCAACGCCAAGGCGCTTCATCATCACCTTCCTTGCTTGCGCCTCGGGATTTTGCTCCCTGTACTTGCTCTTCACAGCTAGGCGAGCGCTCCGTTTGGGGACGAGCTCATCATCCTCAATTGCCCGTGCCCTTGCTGACCTGGTGACCTACAGGCGTGGTGGCGACGGGAGGACGAGCTGCGACAGTGGCTTCCTAAAGGTGGAGATAAACATCGACCGGCATCGGTTGCAGCGGAGGCACCAGAGTGCGGATAGCTGCATCGTCGATGAACTCAGGGCAGTCGACGGGCTGAGGCGAAGTATCAAGACTGCATCACCCCCGAGCTCAGAGGCCTCGATAGTTTGTGGCGTGGACAAGGGTGCCCCCGCTTGCTCAGGTCCGGCGATCTCAACGGATAAAACCGGAGAATCCTCCCCCAGCTCCAGCCTCATGAGGTGCGGTCTGAGAAAGTTGTGGCCAGATCCGCAGTCATCAGGGCCCGAGAGGCACAGGACCACTGTCATGGACGTCTCTGAAATCTGTGGACCAGCCTGGTCCCTATCAAACGCGCATCCAAAAAGGAAGTCAGGGCCATCACAAGGCCCAATTAGGACATAGGTCACCTGGCCCGTCGTCAGCTCGAACTCCGCCTCTAGGGCAGACCCCACCATGCCAAGGTGACGAGTGCGGGACACTTATCCGCCGCGCGGATCGATGTCGATGGAGAGAGGCCATGCGCCGCTGTCGCTGACAACTTTCCGCTGCGTGCACAACGATGCCTCAATAAGCATCGGGTCGATCGCTGCCCGTTTGATAGGAGAGGGCGAGCCAGGGCGTCAGAGCGCGAAGTCAAACATGTTGTCCACGAATGGTTCGACACACGTCGTTCGCGTGGCAGAAAACCACGCTGACGCATCATGATGGCCATCCACCACTCTTGTGTATGGAAGGTTGGCTCGTCTGCTATGGTGAACCGGGTGGTCCACGGGCGTGACGATGCCGACGTCGCCTCAACCCCGCTTGAGCCGGGAGCGCGAGATGCGACGTAGGCGCTTGGGCAGAACAGGATCGCCAGCAACATTCGCATCACCGCCCACGTCACCGCTAAAGGCATCCAGGTTCGCACCGGCCTGCGGCACAGGGCCTGACGTCTCCGCAGCCAGCACGTCGACCTGAGGCTCCGGAGTAGGAGGCTCGCACATCGGTGGCATAGACGGCTCCCTGCCAGTGGAGACAGAGCACGTAGAGGCAATGTGCACCGGCAACCAACGACCGGGCGAAAGCTGACACCGACGAGCGCCCTGACTCAACCGAGGGGCACGCCAAGGGGAGCAACCACGTTTGCTCGCGCAGCGACTGACAACCGGTGCCTGGGGGCAGTCGCGCGCCTGGTGGCCGACATCCTTGTAGGTGAAGCACTTGGATTAGAACGTGCACTTGGCTCGCACGTGGTCGTCGGCAAGGCAGTTGAAGCACTTGTCGATCAAGTACGATGGCACCAGTCTTCGCGGCGCTGCGGGACGCCGCCAACGCCTCGTGTTGTGCACCTGCCTGAAGCCATCCTCGTCCGACTGGACCGACATGCGCGCCGGGTGGACAACAATAGATGCTAGCCGACGAGGGTGGTACGTCGGTGGCGAGCCGCGACGCTTCGACGCCCGACGACGGGCGTGGACGATGGCGTCGGTGCTGCGGCCATGACGAAGAGAACGGCCTTAACATCGCCCAGACGATGGAGGCGCGTCGAGTCGTCAGCGATGCCTCCGAAGTCGATGAAGCTTGACCTCTCCTCCGACCCCGGAGAAGTGGCGAAGGGCTCCGCATCGGGTCGAGTGAGCTCAAATGAAGGACGAAGGCGGCATGAGCTACCGCCACAAGCGGAGGTAGCTGCAGGACTCCGCCACAAACGAAGGACGGGCGGCATGAGCATCACTGGGTGGTGGAGGCGGGTCCGGTCGGTGGGAGGGAGCCATCCTCCCCAGCTTATGGCATAGGAGTGGTGGGATGTGAGGCGCGGCGAACAGCTTGGCCAGCAGAGCGACAAAGCAGACGGCGATGGCTCGACCGGCAGAGCGGGACCAAGCGACGACGGCCCGGCCGCCCGCTCTGCTGCCCACCAAAGGGGCGGCTCCATCCCAGCCCACAGCCTCGCCCGGGGAAGAAAAACCCATCAAATGGCAGATCAAACAAGAGGTAGGGGCGGATCTAGAGTTGGAAGAAGGATTTTGGTTTAATCTAGAAGGATTATGATGGATTTCGGTGATTTTCTGGAGGTGACGTTCGAGCGCCCGAGGGGAACGGGTGGAGCGCCAACGGCTCCATCCCGCCAGGCTAGCTCTGGGTTGTCTGCTACGAGGTGGTGGGCACGCACTGGCTGAAGATGCACATGCACGCGATCTGTGGTTCCGCCGTCGGCATTGAATTTACTACCGTTGCTTTGGCCTTGAGCCCTTGACAACTTGGGGCAGAATCATGTACGCTGGTTATTATATTATAAAACTCATTGTTAAACCACTCTAGCGTCAGGTTTCAACTTCAACTTCGGCGGCGGTGCACGCTTTTGGAGTGGGCGGGAAGCACCTCGCGAGCGCATGCTTGCAGGTTGCAGATTCCATCGGTCAGGCAGGCAGGGCCGGTTTCGCCCGGGGGAGCAGCATTTCTGGAGATACGCGCCCAGTTTGTTTATGCTTGCAACTGTACGTACAGTACTCCATAGGTGGCTTCACAAAGAAGCATTGCGCTTTGATAATTGGAGCTCACGGATGCTCCAAAACATACGCGAGCTGTTCGGCGCATCCGCTGCCGTGCCGGCGAGAGGCGAGACGCAAGGTGACACTTGCGGGCTGCGGCACGGTGCAAAATGTTTGGAATGCTCGCCTCGCCTGAGCCTCTTCCACTGTCAGACCTTGTTTAAATCTAAAGTTTTGAGGTGTTATATCAGATGTCACATATGGATGTGGTACGAGGTGTTTGATATTAATAAAAAAACAAATTATAGAATCCGTCAGTAATCCGCGAGACGAATTTATTAATTCTAATCAATCCGCCATTAGCACATGTGTTACTGCAGCACCACATTGTCAAATTATGAACTAATTAGGTTTAAAAGATTTGTTTCGTAAAGTAGTCGTAAATTGTATAATTAGTTATTTTTAGTCTATATTTAATACTTTATATATGTGTATAAATATTCGATATGATTAGGAGTAAAGCGTAGGGTAGGAAATAAATAAGACCTCAAGAAAAAAAGAACAAGATGATGGGAAGCTTTGGAATCGCATCACACAGTTGTTGGGCGCTGAGTGGAGGATGACGCGTAAAAGTGCGGGCCGGGACGCTCGCTGGTTTTGGCGTGGACGGCGGGACATACGTGCGCCGCTGCTGCGCAGGCGGTGAGTCACGCACAGCAAGGCAGCCGGTGGTTCGACACATGTTCGGTGTTTGTGTCCACGGACCACGTCTCTCGCCGCATGATTGGGTGGGGGACTGACCGACTCTCGGGTGACTCAGGCATTTATTAGTTTCTCTGGAAAGTTTACTTTCTATCTCGAAAGCTAGACCCATGTACGAAGTATTAAATATATATTAAAAAATATTTAATTATAGAGCTTATGATTAATTTGTGCGACAAATCTTTTAAACCTAATTAGTTCATAATTTGACAATGTGGTGCTATAGTAACACATATACTAATGATGTATTGATTAAGCTTAATAAATTCGTCTCGTGGATTACCGGCGGATTATGTAATTTGTTTTTTTATTAGTATCCGAATACCCCATGCAACACCCTCATATGACACCTGATGTAACACCTTAAAACTTTACAACCTAGAACCTGTTCGGCTGATATTAAAGCCGGCTGAAGCTGTTTTGTTGTGAGAGAAAAAAATATTATAGGCTAGTTGATAAGCCGATCAATAAGTTCAAGCGAACGTACCCTTGATTGAATCAAGGTCTCAGCCAAGAGCAGTGAGACGTACAGAAAAGATAAAGAAAATTATGGAGTTCAACGCATCTGACGTGGGTGCAATGATTTAGGCCATTTTGGATCTTTTTGTTTAAGTATAAAAAGCTTGACACTGACGGAAAGATAGTACAGTAGTGTGTATAGTCCGGATAAACATTTGTAATACCATTTAGAAGTTTGGTTACGCTACTGGGACAATTGCGCAGTTGTTTCTTTGACATTTCAGCTCCTCTGTTACATTCTACTACTCTGTCATTTTCTCGCTTATAGGAACTTCACGTACACCTATCCGTTCATTGACACGTTCGTTTAGCTGTGGCTTAGAGTAAACGATCATAAATTTTCAGTCGGAATAATATTTTCCTCTCACGTAAACCAGCCTACAGTACTTCTTCACGAACCAGCGACGAAACGAACCAGCCAGATTTCGGACAGATCCAAGGCGCAACTTGTGAGTATATGGATTGGGGATGGGGATCGAAAACCAAAAGAACTGATTATTGCTCACTCAGATCTCTGGCGCGGTCTTCGTCTCAAAGAAGACCTGCTGGCATCGTTTGCCAAGCTTCATCTGGGGAATGAGATCCTCTGCAGTTGGCAGAGAACTTCTCTCTACGGTTCTGGAAATCTGGCCGTCCATTCCCATCTAACGGTGACCAAAGTATATACAGATGCCCCCCTCAGCTCGCGCACTCCACAGGCTCTCAGTCTCACGAGCGCGCGCGCGTCCACGTCCGCCATGGCGTCGTCCGCGTCCGCCATGGTCTCCAGCAGCTCGACGTCGGCGCCGGCGCCGGCGTCCCCGTCCCCGAGGCCGCCGCGGCCACCGCCTCGGCGTACGCACGGCCGCGCCACCTGAGGAAGTCGCCCTCCGCGGCGCACACCATGACGCGGTCGCACGCCAGCGTGTGGAGCCTCGGCGCTGCGAGCGCCATGGGGTTCATCCGCGGGTCGTCCATACCGCTGGTCTCGGGGCACGCGAGGAACCAGAGCCCCACGCCCATGGAGCGCACGGTGGGGTCCGCGGGCTCCTCGCCCACGGCCTCGTGGATGAGCGGCGGCGGCGGCGGCGGCGGGCGGGACTCCTGCTGGACGCCGACGACGATGTCCGGGTGGATGGTGAGGTGGTGGCAGATGTTGCCGCCGGCGCTGTCCCCGGCGACGAAGACGCGGGCGAGGTCCCCGTGGGCGGCGACCCAGGGGTCGGCGGCAGAGAGCGCCCACTTGAGCGTGGCGAGGCAGTCGTCGTACCCCGCGGGGAGCGGGTGCTCGGGCGCCAGGCGGTAGTCGACGAACACGACGAGCGCGGGGACGGCGGCGGCCAGCCTGTTGAGGAAGAGGTGGTAGCTGGGCGACGCGGCGGACTCGGCCACGAAGCCGCCGCCGTGGACGTACACGACGACGGGCAGCTTGGCCTTGGCGCTGTCAGCGGCCACGGGGGCAGGTAGAGGCGGACTGAGTAGGAGCCGAGGTGGACGTCCTTGGACTGGACGCCCGTGGCGGCGTCGTGGCCGGGATCCACGGGCGGGGCCACCAGGGGCCGCTCGATGCGGCCGCTCTTGTAGATCCGGAGCAGCGGGCCGAACTCGCGCACGACCTCGTCGGACGGGTCGGGGGCCGGGACGGGGAAGGGGAACGAAGGCTTGGACGACGCCATGGTGGACGCGGACGCGCGCGCGCTCGTGAGACTGAGAGCCTGTGGAGTGCGCGAGCTGAGGGGGCATCTGTATATGCTTTGGTCACCGTTAGATGCGAATGGGCGGCCAGATTTCCAGCAACCGTAGAGGGAAGTTCTCTGCCAACTGCAGATGATCTCATTCCCATCTGGCCAACAATTCCAAAGCACACAGAAAGTACCGTGCGGTACCGCAGTTGGTGCGAAAGCAATCACTCAAAACACATGAAAGCGCACAAAAACGCAGTCAGGAACGAGATAAGTTTGCGATCAAAATTTCATGACTATCATAACATGCTGAAATGCCGTGTACATTTACAGATCGACGGTGCTCTCGCACACACCCTCAGGCCACACAACCCAAAAGATCCCATCTCAGGGAAACAGAAACAAGGGGAGCACGCATGGTGTTGATTCAAGTTTGCAACCTGCAGGTCAGGTCGATCTGTCCTAATCGCCTTCTTCAGTCTTCAGATCAGATCCACCCCCCGCTTGCCTCTGTTCCGCGCACAAAACTCGTTGTGCGGCGCAGCGCCTCCCCCAGCGGGATCTCTTGCAGCTGTAGCTGCTTGAACCAGCACGATCTTCTTCTTCTTCGCAGACCAGGCCTAGCTGTGCTTGCTTTTAACTAGCTGGCCACGTACACGTCCGCCTTGGCGGCCACAGAGGCCCCCCTGCTCCGCTGCGACTGCTGCTGCTTCCGCCGGCTGCTGCTGGCCTGCCGCGCGTAGGCCGCGTCATGGTGCATCTGCTCGTAGCGGCAGTCCTCGCTGCAGAACGGGGTGTCGCCCTTGTACATGAAGATGTCGCTGTTGCGGGTGAGCGGCTTGGAGCAGAGCGCGCAGGCGTCCAGCGCGTGCCGCCCGGGCTCGCCCAGCGGCTCCGCGTCGAAGAAGAAGGCGCAGGCCACCGACGTCGCCATGTCTCGTCTGGCCTCTCACTGGCTTGCTTGTTGGTGTCTCTACGGACCAGCTTTGCCAGATGCTTTTGCTGCTTTGGAGACTGGGGAGGAGTGGGGAAAGAGAGTGCGTGCGAGTTACTCTGCTCTGGTGAGCTTGGCTCGCAACGAAGTGGACGGGGGGCGCATCTATTGTTGCGAGCTGAGGAACACGACAAGCGGGCCTGACGTGGAGCTTACGAGAAAGCCGAGAGAAAACCGTGGGTGGTTCTCGAACCAGGCGGCGACGGGAGCGAGACGGTCCAGCGCGCCTGCCTATATCACTGTGTGCCTGGTGCCTGCCTCCTAAAGCCGGTCTCCGATGTACACCCAAAACTCTAACAGAATACGTATATGCAACAGATACGTAACTTAAATATGAGTATCATCTCTTCTATAGACTTATTTACGGAAATGGTTCTCATTTGAGTTTTGTCGTTGCAGAAGACTAAAAATAGATATTAAACTCTTTACCTGTAGCATTACCTAAATATGGAATAAGTCTTGTATTTTAGATGACATTATTGATATAGTCTAATAAACCGTAGCTAACAGCGTCGTGCCTGCCCCTTGTTGGGCTCGCTTCCCTTTTTCTTTGGAGGGGTCTACTAAGCAGTAAGGGTAACTGGGTTGTTTAACTATCTGGTTAACCTCGTAAGGGCACTCTCAATGTAGAAATTATCATAGTTTCTATAAACATTAATTGCATTATCACCTAAGCGTTTTACTGATGTGGCAAGGTAGTTATTGAAGAGAGAGAAAAAAATCATAGAAGCCGGGTCTAAGATAAAAACCATGTCTACATGAGAATCAAAACACGAAGGGATGTGATTGGTAGATAATGGAGAGAGAATACATGTGACTAGATAAAAAATTGTTTTGTAGAAACTATCGATTGTGATCATGATTTTTATATGTAGCGTGTAAAAAAATTAATAGGTATAGAAACTAAACGTAGTTTCTAACATTGGGACTGTCTTAACGGTGTCCCATCCCATGGTATAGAAACTAAACTTAGTTTCTAACATTGGGACTGTCTTAACGGTGTCCCATCCCATGGTATAGAAACTAAACGTAGTTTCTAACATTGGGACTGCCACCGGCCCCGTTCACTTGGAGGAATCTGAATGGTTTTGGATGAATCTGGAGGAATTTGTGAGAGAAAAGCACTGTTCCGGATAAAAAAGAAGCGGATCAAAGCCGGGTTTAAGGGCACGCGAACAGGACCGATGCATGAACTGGTTGTGGGCCCCCTCAGGTAAAGCAGACAAGATTGGGTTGTGTCGAGCATGGCATGGCCTTATCTTGACGTGGCAAACAGCTGGATAACTTAGGGGTGTTTGGATCCGGTGACTAAAATTTAGGAGGTGTTACGTGAGGATGTTACATGGGGTGTTCGGATACTAATAAAAAAATAAATTACAGAATCCGTCAGTACTCCACGAGACGAATTTATTAAGCCTAATTAATCCATCATTAGCATATATTTATTGTAGCACTACATTTTCAAATCATGGACTAATTAGGCTTAAAAGATTCGTCTCGCAAGTTAGTCGCAAGCTGTGATTAATCCATTATTATCATATATTTATTGTAGCACTACATTTTCAAATCATGGACTAATTAGACTTAAAAGATTCGTCTCGCAAGTTAGTCGCAAGCTGTGCACTTAGTTTTGTATTTAGTCTATATTTAATACTCCATGCATGTGTCAAAACATCCGATGGAATAATGACTAAAGTTTAGGAGGAGAAACCAAACACCTCTTAGTGCTGGAGGTGGAGCCGAGGGTAGTAGGGTATGAGGTCGAGGCGCTTCCATCACCAACCACCGGCAGTCCGATTTGATGTACTACCGTTCCACACCCGGAGAGGCACGGAGCGATGGCGGTCCGTGCATGGCACCTCGGGGGAGTGTTCTCCGCAATAGGCTTTGGGCCAGAAAGACAGTTGGGCAGCCGCCACTCGGCACACATTAACGTATGGTCCAACATTAGACATCAATCTGCACTTCAGTTGGCCCGGCCCAAAGACGTTCTTTCACGTGGAATGCATATGAAGTCCAACAAAAAACCTCTAATTTAGAGGCACGGAGCGATGGTGGTCGGTGCATGGCACCTTGGAGTGTTCTCCACAGCAGGCTTTGGGCCAGAAAGACAGCTGGGTAGCCGCCACTCGGTACACATTAGCGTCTGGTCCAACATTAGACATCAATCCGCACTTCAGTCGGCCCGACCTAAAGACGTTCTTTCATGTGGAATGCATATGAAGTAAAAAAAAACTCTAATTTATCTCCCTCAACTATCGCGATTATCCGATTTTTTTCCTTTATTTACAAAATCAGTTTTTTTAACCTGCCTCAACTTTTTGAAAATCGTTCATTTTTGCACCCTCAACAGTTTTAATGGTGATTTTGTTGATGTGGCGCCGCGTCACAGGGAATAAATTGGACTAAGTTGAAAGTTCAACGAGGTAAATTGGATTAGAATTATTTTTATAGAATATATAAAAAATCATAGGAAATTTGTTTTAGCTCAGAAAAGTATGAAACTAGGTTTAGATTTTTTTTTTCTAAAATCATGCCTTTAGTTATAGTGCTTAGCTTCAAATATCTTGTTATGTAACTTGGTTCTATCTGTATTAATATCATCACCTGTGTGCTACCATCTAGATTTTCATGTCACCTTATATTCCATAATTCATTGCATTACAATGTATTTTAGGAATTTTATAAAAAAAATTATAGTCAGATTTATCTCCTTGAACTTTCAACTAAGTCTGATTTACCCTTGTGACATGGCACCATACCAGTAAAATCGCCATCAAAACCATCACGATGCAAAAAGAGAACGATTTATAAAAGTTGATAAAGGATAAGAAACCTTTTTTTTAGATCAGGGAGGAAAAACGAAAGTTGAGTGACGTAAACTGAACTTCTTCGAAGTAAAAAAGAACCTAGTTAAGGTACACCTTGTTACTGAGGCCAGTCATGAAAGTGGTTCCACACTCTCTCATGTGAAAAGTGAAACACAACGTCCCATAAATGAGGCTAGGTACTTTCAAGCCGAGAACCGTGAACCGAACTGAAATTTCGGGTTTTCAGTTTCCGAGGGTGTTTGGCAGGGCTCCTATTGAGAGGCTTTTCCGCAGGAGCCGAAGCTGTTTCGAAGAAGTCACAATTTAAGAGGCTTACTAAGTGAAACGTTTGTTTTATTCCTGGTACAAACCGACTCCAAACCAGCTTTTAGAGCCGGTGGAGAAGCCGGCCAGTTTCGGCTTCGGTTGCATGTTCCAATTGCTTCCATGTTCGGCTTCCGCGTCGGGTTTCTCGCATGGAGAACCGCGCACCCGATCGAAAAACGAAAAATCAAGTCTACGGCGACGGTTGCGGCCTGCGCGTGACCTACCTAATTCTTGTACTGTACTACTTGCGTAGCACAAGCCACCAGGCCTGGCCCAAGGCCCAGCAGGTAGGCGATTCTGAATCTCGTAGAATTTCGGTGAAAATTCCAAAACTGAAAACCTTATTACCAAGGCCCCACCTTATTACCCAAGGCCCAGTCATGAAGGTGGTCCCTCACTCTCTCATGTGAAAAGTGAAAAACACAACGTCCCGTACACACGCTTCTGTAGTTCTGTGTCTTTTCTGCTACTCCTAGCTTTCTTACATCACAACTAGAACATCAGGCGCCCGTTCTCCTCCACAACTTGAATTTTAGCAGGTCCATTGGGGAATTGCTTCATTCATCAACAGCAAAAAAAAATCATAATGGCTAATTTCCTAAAAAAGCATAAACGGTTTATAATCTTGAGTTGTCAGGTAAAACACTACAAAGGCCATAGATAAGTAAGTAAAACATATGAGATCACAAAGCTACATTTAGGGAGTGAGACAAGACCAAAAGAACTAAAGAATTTACTCGTTGACAACAGTTTTACAAAAAAAGAAGATCAAAGATAAAACCTATTATCATTATGCATATAATGGATTAATGGTACATCTACATAGATAATCATGTAGCCTCATGTAGCAACGGCCATTGTGATCATGAAAAATCAAATCACGAGTACCATCATCAGAACAAAGTAGTCAAAGCCCTATCAGTTACCTGCAATTTGGCACACACAGCACATCAGAGCATGGTACGACATAGAAAATAGATGCAAGCCAAAAAAAGAAAAGGAAAAAAACAGAAATATGGTTTACAATAATCTGCAAAGAACCATTGAGGCAGTAGCCATTTACCAAGGAAATGTTAAATGATATTTCTTAATGCACGACGTAATATTCAATAAATAAATTACTGGTCTGTAAGACATTCTATTTGCCCTCCTTTTCCTATTTGCCCTCCTTTTCCCAAATCAATTTTCAACTCTAACATCCTGTGTCTTTCTTCCAAGAGTAACCCACATGTCCAAAGGAAAAAAAACAGAACAACAGTAGCAAAGGTATTACACAAATAATAGCTGCAGTCTACACATGTAGAAGAACATGATGGTTGAATCTCAAGGCAAGTCCGCTCTCAGATTAGGAAAAAAATATCCAAAATTGGATTAAAATGGTGACCGTGGGTGTTGTTTCATTCGATAGACATCAATTTCCAAGAAACCAAAAGTTACTTGCAATGGGATCATTTAAAAAATTCCATCTATCAGGCGCCCGAAGGGTGCCCTGCCATGACTACTCTACCACAGCCTGGAATAGTTGAATTTCAGCAGGCTCAAGTTATTTCATCTACAGTGCCAAGCAGATAAGCCCTACGTAACCATCATCACTTGAAAGCAAGACGAAATCTACATTCATTGTATCTCCTGAAAATCGGATATAGCACTACAGCTATCAATCTATTTAATCATTGTCTCAATCTCTAGGGTAGGTAATACCGATAAAGGACAAATTTCGTCAAGTTATGCTACTCTGCTCACTTTATACAAAGTAATAACATTCTAGAGCCATTTACATCATTTGGTGAAAAATAATCCTAGATAAATTTTGCCCAAATAAAAGGTCGGCCAAACAAGTCAAAGTTTTTCCTCAACTTCTCCTAAATTTTTGTCATTTGCATAATATTCCAATAACTACACCCCGCACCCTAAACGGAATGTAAAAATGAAGTGCCTGAAACAAAAGTACCAGTGTCAGGTCTACATAAATAATGCATTTGACAAAAAATTATACCACGTTAAATACAATATTTTGCAGCGGGCTTAGCATATGAGAAGTAGAATGACCATTAGACAAAGTTATGTCACACCTGGATCTACTTGGTCTTGGATCATCTAAAGACCATGACTGCAACACATTAAACATTACTGCTTAGTTTTTACCCTGAACATAGAAAGCAATGGTGCAGCAGCATAATTTGAGAAAGTGGACACCGCAGGTACACAACCTGATGGTTGTTATTAACTTTGTTTATATAGTGAACAAATAAATAATGCAGGTAAACTCCAAACTCCTTCGCCTCCCAACTGATGGATAAGTCTCATGTATGGTCTTTGTGGGGCTGTACTGCTCACATGCTCCTTGTGGCTGTTTTTCTGCTTTTAGGACAGCATCTTAGACTAGAGGACAGCAGGACAGCATCTTCGAGGACAGCATCTTAGCTAGGACAGCATATTAGCATCTTAGACTAGCATCTTGGCATATGCTTGGCTGGCTAGCAGCCTATAAATATGTAACCCCAACCCCTCAGGTTGGTATGGCATTTGTGTGAGAAATAGACAAGAAAATTGTCCCAACTCCTAGTGTCATCCTCTCTCGATGAGAGTAAGAATTCTTCTACTACCAAGAGTGAGAATTCAGCGACTAACACCAACCTTTCTTACCAGGTCAGAGCCAGGGCTGCTTTCCTCTTTTTGATCTCGGGCGCCCTGCAGTGGATGAAGAGACGCTACTGTCTGGTAAACATAACTTTGTGTAGCTATGATAACTAGATGGTAACACTAAGATCTAAGCACATACATCTACATATATTGCTGGATTTCATAGTCACAGTTTTAGAAAGTAAACCCAACAATAAAAAAACTGCATCCATTGTGCAGTGCTATTTTCAGGCCACTCATGCTAAACTGTTGTGCTTAGCATCAAAAGAGAGCGATAAAAAAGGGAACTGTAATGTATATAACCAGGATGTAAGGACCACAAATGATAGCTCAATGCACAGAATCATGGATATAATATGTAAAAAAGCTTTAGCTAAGTCCATACGACTCGTTTTAAAACACATGCCCCTATGTCGACACTGCTATCAAAGTGATTTAATTTCACTCATACAACAAATTGAGAAGGTAGTCGCAGAATTCATACATACTAAGGTTAACATAATCATATCCACAATAAGACCTTATTTCAAAATTCCCTGGTGCATCTTTTTACAAGAACCACTCAAAGGTTGATAAGCTATATGAGATCTAGCCTGGAAACAATATCCATAGTTGAAGAAACATGATATTAATATAATGCAATTCCCAAATTAACCAAGAGACACGCACAAGCTCCATCTAACTGTCTAAAGGTACACACTTAACCTACCATTTAATTATAAGACAAAACTAATCCACCTAACTGGGTTAAGAGTCATCATCAACACAAATTGTAGGGTGTTGTAAAATTAAGGTTCATAACTCCACACAAGTTGTAAGGTGCCGAGTAAAATTAAGGTGGTTCTATCCCAATAGATGGTTGATTCTAATACAAACAAGGAGAGAAGAGACATGGATGGTAGGAGTAGAAAATGTGTCAGATCAGGATAATTCACATTTCAACCACCATGGAGGCTTTTTTTAGTAACATGAATTGTAAAAACACACACATCAAACTCTGTATATGCCTTGCAGATTCTTTTCCCCTATGACTGTTATCTAACAGCTAGAAATTTAAAACTATAGGAGCCGAAACTGAAACACAACATTTTTTATTCATTTCAAGCTAAAACCTGATAGAGATCTCCTAAGTGGATGACATAGACTCGGTTTGTTTTAGTGAGACACTACTCGTTTTTAGCCACTACTAAGTGGATGACTATTCAATTTAGGAGCAGCAGCGGTACACCTAATATTAACACTAACCCTGTTGAAATAAATGGCAATTCTGAAATTCAGTTAGCATGAGATGCATCTCTGCCCTACTACTGTAATAAAAAAAATACTGTAGTAGAAACCAATGATCCAATTTTGATCACTACAGACAATGATACAGCTTAAAAAGATCTGAATGACCAAGAGAAACATTGCAATTAGAATATCCAAACGTAATGTACCCATGCATGGTGACACAAATTACATATGTCGATATTCCTGTTATGATGTTTTTTTGGTATTGTAGCTTTGATATGAGGACCAATGCTACTGCCATGTATAGCGTTCCCCTACTCTTTTCAAAGCATTTCTGAGTTCAAATTACTCTTTATGGACATAGTGCTGAGTCATGGCCTCAAACAAAATCATTGTTTCTTTTTTTAACACAGGAGAAGAATGTATTTCTAAACACTAATGTTGATTCTGTGATTCAGGTCAACCACACGTGGAGTAATAACAGCATGCTTGTGAACACCACCCCCTCACCTGCCATTCTAGTCACGATGTCGTGCGGCACGACATGCCTGTCGCGCTTTGGAGTTCAACCCTCTTGCCTGCCCTCATACTCTTGGACAAGGCCACGAGCATCCTGCATACCAGACACGTGCATTTGCCATTTGTTAGAGCCTATCATCTTTACTCCAACCATCCAATATACAAAAGCTAGTGCAGCTTAGTAAGGGTGCTTACTCCCACGGCACATCAACAGCATCCAGTTGCTATCGCTGTCCTCAAACACCATGGCATGCTCCAGGTCGCCATACATGTCCAACAGCCGTGCGCGAAATGAAATAGAAAGCGCAATTCTTCTTCAGTTTCAATCCTCCCCGTGGCTTATTATACACGCAAGCGTCATCGATCTGCGTGGGTTTCTGATTGATCTCGTGCAGCATAGCAGCAAGCTTACTGATTGAGCAGTAGCAGAACATCTCACTGAGCGCCTCCGCGAGCTCGTCGTAGTCGTCATACGACGCCACGTCCACCTTCCTCAGGTACGGCTTCCCGTCCATGCTCACTTCATATCTGCAAGGAGCCACAAGAGGCAACTACCAATAAGGAATCACAGGTAACAGAAGTGACGAAAGGTGAACGGATGGCGCGAGAGAAACGGACCAGATCTTGCCACCGCCACTGTACCGTAGGATCGATCTGGGCGAGATCCTCATGGTCGTAGAGAAGAAGGTTGATGCTGTTCTCACGGAGCGAAGGGGAAAACCAGAGCCACGGTTGTGGATGAGGCGAGGCAGCACGGCGCGCGTGGCCCGTGGAACAGTGTGGGAGTCAGGCGTTCGTGTCGGCGCGGCTGCCGTGAGCACGGGGAGGCGCAGATCCGGTGCCAGTCGGAGTAGATTGGGGCCTGGCATCTGGAGATGACGGGCATGCTAGGGTTCGGCGGCGGCGCCCGAGACAGCTCCCAAGCTCCTATCGGCACAGATAGATGAAAGAGAGAAGGGGAATGGACAGGAGAGAGAGCCACGGAGGAGAGCACTTCTTGTGGGTGGAGCGACGGCGGCGAGTCGAGAGGCATGCACGGCGCACAGGAAGGGTAGCGGCGGCCGGTGAAGAAAGAGAAAGGGGAGAGAGGAGTGAGATGAGGCGAACCGGTTAGGATTCAGGTCTGATGAGTTGGACCGTGGGTTAATTTACAAAAAATGTGGAGGGTTTTCTTGCAAAATGTACACAGCCACGTTTCGGCACGCGAAGGAGCCAGCGATGCTCCGAATGCTCTGGTGCTTAGACCAGCTCCAGCGGACAACGCATCACGCGACCTATACCCAAAATGCCTCTTTCACATGAAAGAAACGGCCTCCAACGGAGTAGGCAAAGGGAAGACCCAGTTTGGGTCGGAGGTGAGAGGAAACTCAAAAATGCGTATGTCTCTCTCCTCGACCCAAATCGACGCCAGGAGGAGAAGCTCGTCGGACGCGGCTCTTGCTCCGAGGAGGATCACCGGCAAGAAGCATGCGCGGACCACCTCGCGATGGCGAGATCTGTCGGCGCACGGCTCGATCCGGCAAGAAACACGGGACTGCTGGAGTAGTGCAGAACCGGAATGGAGGGAGAGAGAGATTGACGCACAGCAAGGAAGGAAACAGGCACGAGCTCGAAGCGCCGGTCTGCTCTGGTCTTCACGGTGGCCTGATTGGCGCACTAGACCGGCACGGCAACCACGGCTGCTTCGAGCACGCGAGCGCCCCCTGCAGGAAGAGCAGCAGCAAACACAGCTCACACAAACAGGAATGCGACGAACACGCAAGAAAAGGTACGGCCTAGAGATCGACGAAAACCGAGCCAAATCAAAGCGATTCTCTCCCAAAATTTGCACAGATCTAATTCACCACGCTACGAACCTAATCCCCAAACTTTAGGAAATCCAGATCGTAGCTAAGCACGAAAATGGGGAAAAACTGCAGAACACAGAGAACAAAAATTACACCAAAATATGAGCTTGAGCTTGCCTTCTCTTTCTTGCTCGCCTTTCCCTTTTTTTCTCTCTCTCTTGCTCGCGGCTCCATCAGGCAGAGGCGAGCGCGGCACTCGGCCTTGGGCGGAGCTGCAAAGCAGGGCGGCGGCGGCGGTGTGGAGCAGAGCAGAGATGGGGAGAGAGAGGAGAATGGAGGTGGAGTAGAGATGGGCGGAGCTGCAGAGCACGGCGGCGGCGGCGCATGTGGGGACCCTTTGGGTTGGCTGTTGGAGAAGGAAAGATTTAGGTGGGCTTTCTTTTTACTGTGCCGGACTTAAAGTATAGAATGAGTTTCACGTTTGGGTCGGGATTGTTGGAGACAGCCTTACTTACCGAGTGGGTTTTACCATCTTCCGATGCCGCCATCCTGCAAAAATCTGGCCGTCGATTCCCCGAGCAAAGGCCCGCGATTAATGCCTCCGCTTCAGTCGCTGCTTTGCCTCTATGGCAGAGAGTCCGCGTCCACTCACCTCAGCTAGGGTTTCGGACTCGAGGCCATTCCTCAATCAGCTCCTTCCCCAAGTCGATCCCCAGACGGGCATCCCCCGAGCCCCGACGCTCCAGGCGGCCAGCCCCACCTCCCACCTCCCAGCGCCCCTCGCCGTCAGCCGCCCCCGCCCCCGTCGCCCCCACCGCTGCTTCATCACCTAGTCCTGCCGCCGCCGCCACCCGTCGCCCACAGCGCCGCTCCCGACAGCCACCGTCCCAGCGGCGCGCCCCTCCGCCTTCCGCTGCTCCAGATCCGAGGCAGGTCACCGCTGGGGACGCAGCACGAGCGCCAGAGCTGTTCGCTGGAGCTAACGGGTATGCCCATGCTTACATTTTTTTTTCTTTCCGAAATTCGAATCCGAAAGGATGTGCAGTTTGCTTAAGCTGTTAAGCATAGGGGGAAATGGGAAAAGGATCACATTTCTGTGCAGCTCCTGTGAATTTACATCCATTCGTGCATGTTCGTTGCTGCAAATGTCTTGTGAAGCAAGGTCGATAAGAGCAAACTAATTGGTCTCCGTATTTGCATCCAGTTCTCTTTATCGTTAAGCCCAGTGTGCAATTTGTTGTGTGTTACTCCTTATTACTAAGCATTTAAGCCACTTTTCTCTCTCTGGGACTCGTCTACCTTTAATCGACTCTAGCGCAGATCGTGTAGAGTAAGTGGATGGAGGGCACTTTGAGGCATTATCAAGCTAAGAACAATCATGATCGGAAATATTTGCAACATTTCTGTCTTGTGCACGCCCGATTACACTCAAACAGCAACTGACCAACCCCCAATACTCGTACATGAGTGATGCATTAACTACATCAAAATTGTGTTTTCTTTTTGGACAGAAGGCTTCTGCCCAGCTTTATGCGAAGCAAAATAGTCTGCTGAGATTACCTGCTCTTACATAGTACATGCTTGACTTGCCAACGAAGAAGAAGAATCCGTGCCTAGGATCAGCGTCCACAAATTACATGGCAAATTTCAACACTTGCTGCTTTAGCCTAAAACAAGTCACAGCCCACTGTAAAAACCTCTGGACCCATCAGAGAACCAAACAAACATAATGACAATTTTTACCCAACAAACCAGACAGCTGAAACCTATTTTCTCCTCCTCCTACTAGTTAAAAAGCCTACATCGCTTTTAACCAGGAAAGTACTGCTAGAAAGAGAATCCCAACATGTAGGCTGTTGTCCAGTGAATGATGAGTGTGCTCTATAATTAAGGCGACATCATTTGTTTAGTGTTACTTACCATTGCCCATCTGTAAACCTTTTTGAAGCATTTGGGTACCTTGAATAACATACAAGTCCTAAATGTGATTACGGACTCTGGTGTTTAGACTTTAGACATGTACATGCACTGATTCTTTAATATTGCATAACCAGTCATTTACCCAGCTACTATTTGATTTTGCAACCAGTAACACTGTATGGCACACTTCTTCGCTTCAGGATTTTGAGAAGAGGAATATAATCATGGATATCATGCAGACTAGTGACTCTTCGCATCATGGAATTGTAGAAAATAGCCCGTACAGAATTCCATATGACAGACATGCAGAAGGTGGTCAACTTGGTGCTTCATGGTATTTTAGTAGAAAAGAAATAGAGGAGAATTCCCTATCGAGGAGAGATGGCATTGATCTGAAGAAAGAGTCTTATCTTCGCAAGTCATATTGCACATTTCTGCAGGATTTGGGGATGAGGCTTAAAGTGTAAGTATATATTATACCACAAGTTCTTTGTCAATTATTTTTACTTGTATTTCCTGAAAATATAATATCCATTCGCCTGTAATATCTATAGTTGTTATTTTCAAATTTATTTAGATAACTTTCTAATTTTCTGGAGCTTAGTTTTCCTAGGGCGAATACCATTTATCCCCTAAACTTTGGGGGTGGAAGTTGAGATTTCACCCTAACATAAGGCCAGATATCTTTTTTACCTTAGACTTTACACCATACAAACAACACCCTAACTTTGAAAAGTGTTTCTTGCCTATGAGAAAGCAATGCATGGGTTGTTTAACATGTAAGAGTGAATGCCACTTCATCTTGTTTAAATGTTTTATTGATAAGGAAAAAATATTAGGTCCCATGTTTTTATATGAAGGAAGTCTTTATCTCCATGCAGCCACAGACTGGTGTTTTCACTTGTGGGCTGTGGCAATGGGTTGTTGTCTGGTTCAGCAAAATCACACTCCAGAAACAATTCACTGTGTCATATTATGTGTCAAAATCGCTAACTCGAGCTTGCCACATAGCTAAAAGCACCCTCCAATACCTGCTAGGTGTTATTTGAACGGTATAATTTAGGGTGAAAAGTGTTCCAAGTTCCAACTGTTTTTCCCCTGTTAACTGTATATAAATGATTTATGACTGATGCCATATTCACATCTGTTAACCTGTAACATATAAAGTATAAATGACAGCATCTCCTTATGGTCAACAGCATCTGAATTATAAATGTGAGTGCTGGTAGATGACAGCTTTTGTATTCTAGAATAGCTTGAGTCCTAGGCAGCACCCTTTGGTAAGACTTGACGACATTAATAATTGCTAAAAAACATACACCATAAGCAACCTTTGTTTGGATCTTCGGGATGGTAACATGTTATTCCGAATATTATGAAATCTTTTTATTGAGATAGATGGCCAAGCATACTAGTAGAACTATTTAGAGTCAGTTGCCTAGCGCACCTTGCCGCTAGGGACCACCTCAATGGATCTTTTATTATGGCACTATGTCTATTTAATACTTTGTGCTTCTGTATATTGAATTGACTTCTCCAGTTTCTCCTGGTATTTTAGTAGAACTATTGAGTACTTATCTTTAATTCTTTATTATAGTTTATACAAACATGTGTTATCTGCCCATTTTAGACAGTTTAAGGTCTTATTATTCAGTTGTTCAAGTTGATTTCTATGTGTCCATTGATTTTTTTGATAGTTCTCTATATGCATGCTCAGTTTTCTGTGTCTGCAATGTAGATCATTTGGTACCAAATAGATCTCATTTGTTGATTGTTATTGCACACACCTGTTAATTCAATTTTATATCTGATAGTTGACATATAACTGTCCGCAACAGTGCTCCTTTTGTAATAAACTAAGACCTGATGGTTTCATGAGCACAAGTGTCAAATGGGTAAACAGCTTCATTAGTAATCAATGCATTTGCAATCAAGGGATGGTGAATTTTCTACTTTAATACTGGTTATATTGTGGTTGCTAGTTCTTGCCTAGCATGTCATGAGCAGTTGATAACATCCTTGTTTTTAGTTAGGTGGAACAGATAATGCACAACACTGTTTAGCACTGTATTTCAGTTGCCTGACTGCCTGAAAATAACTGTATTTTGATTGTCTACTAGCTGGTAAACATGCCTGCTTGTTTGAGTTGAAACCTTTTATATGTGTAATTTTTTTCTTCTAATGCCGACTGACTCTGTAATGTAGGCCTCAAGTGACAATTGCTACTGCTATAGTGTTCTGTCATCGGTTTTTTCTTCGTCAATCTCATGCAAAAAATGACAGACGGGTAAGTTTTCTAGATGTTTTTTTAACCTTTTGGCCTCTGTGTTTATAACATGATTGTAAAGAGTAATTTTCTTTATACACATAAATCACCTGGACACTTTGGTCTACATTGTAGTCAGCACAATCTCAGTATGTAGTAACTGGTAAATCTCCGGCGCTCACAGTTCCGGTACCACCTACTTGTGGAAGACAAAAATATTTGTTTTCACATATAAAACACATGTTTTATTAGATGTGTTACAACAACAACAAAGCCTTTAAGTCCCAAACAAGTTGGGGTAGGCTAGAGTTGAAACCCAGCAGAAGCAATCAAGGTTCAGGCACGTGAATAGCTGTTTTTCAAGCACTCCTATCTAAGGCTAAATCTTTGGGTATATTCCATCCTTTTAAGTCTCCTTTTATTGCCTCTACCCAAGTCAACTTCGGTCTTTCTCTGCCTCTCTTCACGTTACTATCCTGGCTTAGGATTCCACTACGCACCGGTGCCTCTGGAGGTCTTCGTTGGACATGTCCAAACCATCTCAACCGGTGTTGAACAAGCTTTTCTTCAATTGGTGCTACCCCTAATCTATCATGTATATCATTGTTCCGAACTCGATCCCTTCTTGTATGACCGCAAATCCAACGCAACATACGCATTTCCGCGACACTTATCTGTTGAGCATGTCGTCTTTTCGTAGGCCAACATTCTGCACCATACAACATAGCAGGTCTAATCGCCGTCCTATAAAACTTGCCTTTTAGTTTCTGTGGTACCCTTTTGTCACATAGGACACTAGATGTTTGGCGCCACTTCATCCACCCTGCTTTGATTCTATGGCTAACATCTTCATCAATATCCCCGTCTCTCTGTAGCATTGATCATAAATATCGAAAGGTATCCTTCCTAGGCACTACTTGACCTTCCAAACTAATATCTTCCTCCTCCCGAGTAGTAGTGCCGAAGTCCCATCTCATATACTCAGTTTTAGTTCTACTGAGTCTAAAATCTTTGGACTCCAAAGTCTCCCGCCATAACTCCAATTTCTGATTCACTCCTGTCCGACTTTCATCAACTAGCACTGCATCGTCCGCGAAAAGCATACACCAAGGGATGTCCCCTTGTATATCCCTTGTGACCTCATCCATCACTAAGGCAAACAGATAAGGGCTCAAAGTTGACCCTTGATGTAGTCCTATCCTAATCGGGAAGTCATCCGTGTCTCCATCACTTGTTCGAACACTAGTCACAACATTGTTGTACATGTCCTTAATGAGCCCGACGTACTTCGTTGGGACTTTATGTTTGTCCAAAGCCCACCACATAATATTCCTTGATATTTTATCATAAGCCTTCTCCAAGTCAATAAAAACCATGTGTAGGTCCTTCTTCTTCTCCCTATACCGCTCCATAACTTGTCTTATTAAGAAAATGGCTTCCATGGTTGACCTTCCGGGCATGAAACCAATTCTCCCTATACCGCTCTATAACTTGTCTTATTAAGAAAATGGCTTCCATGGTTGACCTTCCGGGCATGAAACCAAATTGGTTCATAGAGACCCGCGTTATTGCTCTCAAGCGATGCTCGATAACTCTCTCCCATAGCTTCATAGTATGGCTCATCAACTTAATTCCTCGGTAATTAGTACAACTTTGAATATCCCCTTTATTCTTGTAGATCGGTACCAATATACTTCTCCTCCACTCGTCAGGCATCTTGTTCGATCGAAATTTTATTAGATGTGTTAAAAAAAAAGAAAATCCTCATTATTAAAAATTTAAGTTTGTTATCAATACGTGCATTTCTTTTTAGCATACTGGCGCCGTTTGCTTATTTCTCCTGGATAGTTATTCATCATCTGCTAATGAAAGTTTTAATATATAAGTTCATTATAACATGCAGACAATTGCAACAGTATGTATGTTCTTGGCGGGAAAAGTTGAAGAAACACCCAGACCTCTGAAGGATGTCATACTCCTTTCATATGAGATCATCCACAAAAAGGATCCTGCTGCAGTTCAACGAATAAAACAGAAGGTGATTTGATTTAGAGCATTTAATATCTTGATGTTCCTGTTCTAGGTAATCTGAACTTTGTAACCTATGATGTTATTATCCTTTTCTTTCCTTTCCATTTCTCCTATGATAGTACTTTTTTTTAAAGGCAAGGCCAGGACTGCTCTTTTATGCAATTTTACGTCCTGATTACTGTGGCACACAACAATAACTGAGGCTGTTTGTTTTGTTTCTTCAGGAAGTATATGAACAACAGAAGGAACTTATTTTACTTGGGGAACGTGTTGTGCTTGTAACACTTGGTTTTGATTTGAATGTGAACCATCCATACAAGCCCTTGGTTGAAGCAATAAAAAAATTCAAGGTTGCTCAAAATGCACTTGCTCAAGTTGCCTGGAATTTTGTCAATGATGGGTATGCTAAAATTACTCTTCCTCATTACAAATAGTAATCCACAAACATGCCTATTTACTACGCCTTAAAAGGGGTGTACAGGCTCGTGACTTCACTTTGCCTGCAATTTAAACCGCACCATATTGCGGCTGGCGCTTAATCTTCCTGGCTGCGAAGTTTCTCAAAGTCAAGCTTCCATCAGATGGCGACAAGGTCTGGTGGCAAGAGTTTGATGTAACTCCGCGGCAGTTGGAAGGTTGGTCTCTAGATGCAAAGTCACTAGTGCGCACCTTAACTGCACTAATGTAAAACTTAATTTTCGTAAGTGCTAGTTTCCTACTTATTAGCTATCTAGTAATCCTATGAAAATTGGACAGCGAAAGATAATTGGCGTGTCCAAAAATGATCGTGGAACTAAGATAGGTTGAAGGCACGCATAATTCCATGACCTATGGCTCTATACTCAAGGCAATCCCATTTGACTTTAGATGCATTCTGGGGACATGCCAAGGACATGTAGTCAGGAATAATTGGTTGGTGATGTCATTTTAGTGCATTTTTTTAGTTAGATCTTGCCAATCTTGCATTTTGCTATATATCTTTTTGCCACCATGATGCTTCTTTTGGTCCTTTTCTTCACTTTGGATGCTATATTTTTGTTTTGAAAGATCATTTTTATGAATTATTCCATCAAAGATACATGCTTATGCTTTGTGTTTTTGGTTACTCCTTTCAGAGGTTAGCAACCAGATGTTGGAACTATATGAGCAAAACCATGTTCAACCAACACCACCACAAGGTAATGATACTGAAGGCAGTTCTGCAAGTGTAGCGAATCAACGTGCTTCTGGTAAAGTTCCAGGAGTAGCTGATGAACCTCCTGCCCATGAACATAATCAAGCACCCAGACAATCGAGCCAGCAGAACATGTCAGGCCACCATGGCTATGACCACCCTCATCCGGAGAAGCAAAACTATAGGATACCTCCAAATGAAGCAAGGGATGGCACTGCTAATAGCAACGAAGGTCCCAATGTGTCATCCTCGATGATGGATGCAATGAAGAAGATAAACAAGGATAAGGTGAAAGCGGCCCTGGAGAAGCGGAGGAAATCGAAAGGTGACCTTTCAAGAAAGGCTGATGTGATGGATGATGATGACCTCATTGAGAGGGAGCTGGAACATGGCGTGGAGTTGGCTGTCGAGGATGAGAAGATCAAGCAGGAGAGAAGGCAGAGCTGGCCTCATCCTGCACACCGTGTAGACCACCAGAGCACCAACCGTGAGAATACCGAAGAGGGTGAGCTGTTCATGGACAGTCAAGAATACCATTCTCCGGAGCATGACAATCGGAAGAGAAAGGATGCGCATGAGCACCGGAACTATGATCGTGACGAAAGGGACCTTAAAAGGCTAAGGTCTTGAGAGTTACACCTTTGTGGGAGTCTCATGTTGTTTGGACTATAACATGATGTGGAACCTATCTTTCTGTCACAGGTGTACTAGATGCTTATTTGGTGTGCTGGGGGATTTGAACTGTGACATATATAAGTTAAGATGGTTTCCCCACGAATCATGTATGTGTTAAGCCATGTTGGCAATTGAGATGACGCTGTGACTTGAGTATTCCACAGGTTTATGCTGGAAACAATATTAAGGAAGCTGCATCCAACGGCTATCTGAAGTGTGTATGTATTTGATTCCAAGGTTACCTGAACCCTAGTGGTAGCATGCCATTTTATTATTATTCGTCTATCTTGGACTTGGAACGCTGGTACTGGGGATGAGATCGATCGTGCATAGATTATTGTTGATTTTGATACCATGCAATGTGCATGTTCTCTCCTTCCTAAATTATGGGTTGTTTTGGCTTTTTAGATACATAGTTTTTATTATCTTTATACACTAGATATCTAGTCTAGAAAAGTAAAAAAGAGTAGCATGGAAGAGAGAATTCTTACTGGTGCTGCTCGTTTGCTCGTTCTATGGGCATACAGTATACCACCTATTTGTCGCTGCTTGGAACAGGATATTTTTTACACATTTTTTCTTTAAACATGGTACATTTGCAAGCTTATTACTATGAATGCACGCATACATGGACACCCTATCATAAGAGCTGGGCTGATCTTGAGATTTGGGTGGCTATGAATGTACGCACACATCGGCGCCCTATAATAAGAGGAGGGCCGACCTTGAGATTTAGGTGGCACAATGCAAAGTCTCAACATTATCTATTTCTGACCAGTACTCCTTCGGTCCAAAAACAGGCATCGTTTTAGCCTCTGATGCAATGACCAAGGAGCACCATAGCCACACCAATTTGCAATTAATCACTCCGCTACTCTTAGGCCAGTTTCAATAGAAGTTTCATTAGAATTTGATTTGTATTTAATAGGGTGTCACGTAAACGCTTTTAATGATGTGACAACGTATTTAATTAGAAAGAGAAAAAATGAGTTTTATGGGAATAAAACTCTCTTGTCATGATTATCAACTTTCCATGAGTCATGAAATTAAATATCAATGAAACCAAAGAATGAAACTCTCTATTGAGAGCGAATGTTTTATTTTAATTTACAGTCTTGAAAAAAAACGTCACGAAACTTAGCACTGAGACTAGCCTTAATGAATTTGATGCTGATGCCCTCGCAGGTTCGCACTCTGCTGCAATGAATTCGATGAGAATATGAAATGATGAGGAATTGAGTAGCGGCGTAGATAAAAGGACTGCAGCACTCCTTAGGAAAATCAATGTCATAATAAACTTCTCGACTTTCCTCTGCAGTCGTTCATCTGAACCTTCCATTTGAGTCTCACAGCCCGATCAAGTACAGCAGCCCGGCCATCTCAACCCAAGAGGAGGCAACGCGAGGTCTCTTGGGCAGTTGGGCGCTCGGTCATTCGTAGTCGCCGTTGTCTTTGTTCTCCCCGTCAGGCCGCCACAGCTCGCCGGCGCTCTCCTCACCGCCACCGAGCACCACCAGGTACGCCCTCCGCTTGATCTTCCCCTCCTGCCGTGCGAAGCCGTGCGAGCAAACTTTAACGTAGTTCGTAAGTACGCCTTCCCCTTCCTGCTGTGCGAAACCGTGCGTCCAAACCCTAACATAATATTCGTATTCGGATCTGAATCTAATTACAAGTGTATATGCATGTATTATGCCTACTAACTTCGATTGTTTTGCAAAAATTATCCATGTCCTTCACTGGGTCCGCCCCTGCTTGACAGAGCAAACAGAGCAAGGAGATAGATTAAGAATGGCTGTGCGGAGCAGTTCTATGGCCGCCGAGGATGACTACGAGGTACGTTCCAGTTCTTTCCTCTCTTTCTTACAGTTGCTCTGTTTCCCCGCTTACTATTGCGATTAAATTGTACTAGTTTAGACATGTGCAGAGTTACGGCCTTATTGAGCAACCGGAAATTGCTAGATGGTGGATGAACAAGTGACATATTTAACTACTATAGGGCAAGATATTTAGGTAGTAAAGTAGAATTGGAGTATCTTTTGTTGTTGGATGAGTTCACCTTTAGTTTTTACTTGTACTTGGGTAGATTTCTCGATTGATGACTTCATTTATACAGATTCCAGGGATACAATTGTTCTGAGAAAGTTTAGTATCCTTGTGCTGTTTTTGGGTGTGATTAGGTTGAATGGAAACAAAAAAAATCAATTGTCAACATATTTTTGGGTGATAGTGCAAGCTTTAATGCCTAGGGTACTAGAGCTAGATATGTAGAATTGTATTTCGCAAAAAATAAGAATTATATAGCAGTATAAATACATGCTCCCTCGATTCCAAATTGTAAGTCGTTCGGACTTTTAGAGATACATAGCTGCTTTTACTAGGTATCTAGGTACATAGCAGACGCTATGTATCTCAAAAAGCCAGAACGACTTACAATTTGCATTGGAGGGAGTATTTGTTTTGAGTTACATTGGACCATGACTAGATCATGATGTTGAATCATGTGGCAGCAGAATAATGGTGTTTTCCAGAGGATGCAAATACCATCCACAGTAACATAACATTTTTTTGTCACATCCATATAGGTCTAAGTTTACTCTGAATTGAGATTGTATGTGCTCTTATAGTGTTGATGTTATGCAGACTGAACAAAAGAAGCAAGCTGCTGCAGATGTTCTTTTTCACTATTCACAATTTGTTATGGTCTGCATTGGTGAGGATGTTCGCCCTACTGATCTCAGGTTGCATCTTATGAAGGCATATTTATATTTGTTATAATCAAGGATTCAAGGTTGACCTTTGTGGTTCCTCTATCTTGTGAATTTATCATATGCTTTTCTTTTGCTGAGAATTTTTTTTTCTCGAACACGCAGGAGAACTGCGTATCATTGCATTGAAAAAAAAAGGGACCCTTACAAAACACCACACACACCCGAAAGGAAACTACAAATCACCTTCCTTTGCGCCAGTAAAAGAAAAGGATACGACTGCAACCTAAAAACACACACACACCTTACTGAGGCGACTGGGTGAAAAGGTAAAAATACCTTTAGCCCCAGCCAAAACGCACAACTGTAGCTCCTCACTAGAAAACAATAAGGCTCTAGCCAAACAAGGAGGTACACCATCAAAAACACATCTATTGTGGTGATTCCAAATGGTCCAAGCCAAGCCCCAAGAATCACAAGGGAGTTGAGGCCTTTATGCAGTTGTCCTCCAAGGCTCCAACAGGAAGAATAATCTTCTCCCACCAATCATCAAATAACTCTTCTCCAATCTGAGGGGCAAGGATCTGTAGGCCTACTCTGTGGAATAATCTGTACCAAAAATCTCCAGCAAAGACACAAGAAAGGAGAAGATGGTTTATGGCTTCCTCATCTTGATCACAATGAGGACACCTCTCTGGATGTGGGAGCCCTCGCCTTGCCAGTTGATCGGCCGTCCAACACCTGTCATGAGCTACCAGCCACATGAAGAAAACAATTGTTCCCCTTGTAGATCAATGCTTTGTTCTTGTTAGTTTCCTTCTTATTTATCGTTTGCATGACTATTTGCTGGTCCCGATGTACTTTCTGTGTCTAGATACTAAAATTGAGAGGTGCCTCTACATATTTAGTGAGAAAGGGTAAGCGATAACAATGGTTGCTCGGCTAATCCAAGCAAAGGTTAAAAGTATCCCCAAAATCAGTCATCTACGTTTTATAAAACGTTCTGCTTTATCTTCTTGTCATGTGTGCACCTCCTCTCTGTATTTTTTGGTTGTTCATAGACAGGTCTCATAATTTGTACAAAAAGCTGTACTACAATCAATTGAACATATGAAAAGTTTTTTAGTATTCCCATTGTTCCCACCATCTCCATCCTAAGCAATGGCAACTGTTGAATATAACCATTGTTTTAACATACTTGTTGCAACCATAAAATCAACTGGCTATTCTAAGTTGAGAGGTCAAACTATAAATACAGATAGCATCCACTTAATCTTGTTTGGTGAGCTATAAAGAGGGGTTTGAGGAGTTGGATTTATTTTGAACCTACATGACAAGCTTGGCGAGCCTTAATTTATTTTGTTTTTCTATCGTACAGATTCTTGCCTGATTCAGTTTTTTTCTATGGAACATTTTGCTACTTACTTTGAGTTGTTGGGATCATATCAGTTGCTTTTATGTTGTTTCACTATCAGCAAATGATTTACCTCTTGTCAGATCCCTTCCATTCTTGTCAGTTGGTTTTGTTGCTTGTTTGGGGACCTGAGGCAGTTAGCTGATTTGTCTGTTGACCTAACTTTTCCAAACCCAAGTTATGATTTATACATTGGGTTAATAATTGTTAGCAGTAAGACAGTAACTCAACATGTACGGATTGAGTCTTAAAAAGGAATAAGAAAAGGAACTATTTGCTAGAAAAACTCTGAGATGATGACCTTGTTCATGCTTAGGGCTGGATATCGAGCCAGCTCGGCTCGGCTTGGTCCAGTTCGAGCTGGCTCGTTAGGCTAGCGAGCCAGCTCGGCTCGGCTCGGCTCGGCTACGCATGCCATAATATATTCTGTCATATATGGTGCGACCCAAACTATTGGATTGTTATTATATATATATATATATATATATATATATATAGACTTGGTAAAATTCTAAATTTTATCTATGGTTATTTTATATATTTATATTAAATTACAATTTTAGCTCGTTGCATTTTATGTAGACATAATCTATAGTTTCTGGTTCTGAGAATAAAAACTCGTTAGACAAAACCGCAAATCCGACAAAATCTAGCCTATGTTGGTACAAAGACAATTACCAATTTACAATTGTTTCTATAGTTAGATAAGAACAAAAAAATATTTTCTTATGATAGAAGGACAAACAATAAATCATAAAAATAATAATTTATTTGTACTAATTGGTTTATAAAAGCGTTGTCTAAAACCATCTTCACCATTGCTATTTGTCATTGCT